AGTGACTTGGCTGCACGCGGCTGCAGTGGAGCTGCCCGGGGCCATCATCAGCCTGCGCTGGGGCCTGCGCGTGCTGGTGAGCGCACTGGGGAGAGACTGGGAGGCATTGGGCAGCCAGTAGGAGGCCCTGGAGGGAACTGGGAGATACTGAAGGGGATTGGGAGGTACTGGCGGGGGGCTCTGGGAAGCACTTGGAGATACTGGCAGGCACTGGGGAGACACTAACAGGCATTGAAGGGGACTAGGAAATACTGTGGGGCACTGGAGAGATACTGGGAGGCACTGGAAGATACACTGGGGAGATGCTAGGAGGCACTGGAGGGGACTGGGAAATACTGGGGGGCACTGGGAAAAACGGCCCTGGGGAGACAGTAGCAGGCACTGGGAGATACTGGGGGCATTGGGGAGACTCTAGGAGACACTGGGGGGATACTGGGGGCATTGGGGAGATGCTAGGAAGGGAGATATTGGGAGATGCAGGGGGGTTGGGGGGGGACTGGGAAATACTGGGGAGGGATGTGGGGTTACTAGGCCCCACCTGGAAGGCACTGGGAGCTACTGGCACTGGCTGTTGGCAGGTAAATGGCTCGCGGGTGACGCCCCCATTCCACGTTGCACCCGACACCTGGATCGTGCCCAGTGGCCGCCGCGTCCTGCTGCTCACGGCCGACGGGCTGCGGGTCAGCTGGGATGGGGCCGGTGGCCTGGACATCTGGCCCCCCCGGTGAGGCCCCTGGTGCCCCTCCTGACCCACAGCCCCTGCCCCCCCAGCCCTGCTGGTGCCCCTCACTCCTGACCCACAGCCCCCCGCCCGATCAGCCCTGACAGTACCCCTCACTACCAACTCGCAGCCCCTGTACCCCGCAGCCCTGCTGGTGCCCCTCACTCCTGACCCACAGCCTCCTTCTCTGCCCCCATCAGGGCACTGGCTGGACAGCTCTGTGGTCTGTGCGGTGACGCCGACGGGGACCCTGGGAACGATCGGCGCCGCCCAGATGGGACCACCACAACCAACGATGGGGACCTGGGGGCCAGCTGGAGGGTCCCAGATGACCCCGACACCAAGTGCATGTCCCATACACCCTTGGGGCAGCTACATTGACCTGGGGGGCTTCTGGGAGGTTATTGGGAGAACTTGGGGTGGGTACTGGGGGAGCTGGCCTGTTATTGGGGAGGGTACTGGGAGGCACTGGGGATACCGAGAATTTATTTTCGGGCTACAAAGAAGTTATAGGGTGACCTGGGATGTTTACTGCGGGGTATTGGGAGAACTGGGAAGTCCCTTTGCAGTGTCCTGTCTGTCCGTGTGTGTCGTCCCTCCCCCCCCGCGCAGGTGCCATCCTGGGTCCATTGCCTTCGGTGACTGCAGCATTGAGGTCGGTCATGCAGGGAAAAAACCTGAGAACTGTGGCCAGCTGCTGGACCCTGATGGGGCCTTCGGGTGAGGGGCTGCAGGTTGGGAGGGTTGGGGAGGCAGGGGATGCAAGTCGGGAGTGAGGGCCACCAGCAGGGCTGTGGGGGCAGGGGCTGCCGGTTGGGAGTAAGGGGCACCAGGGGGGCAGGGGGCTCTGGGTCAGGAGTGATGGGCACTGGCAGGGCTGTGGGGCTGGGAATGAAGGGCACTGCCTGAGCTGACCCCCCCACCCCACCCCCCCAGGCCATGCCAGGCCCGGGTGTCTCCTGAGCCTTTTTTCTGGGGCTGCAACCTGGATTTCTGCAACCTCTGGGGGAAGCGCGATGCCCTCTGTGCCTCCCTGAGTGCCTACACAGCTGCCTGCCATGCCACTGGCGTCCGTGTGCGGGAGTGGCGCCGCCCTGACCTCTGCCGTGAGTGCAGGACCCAGGCATCCAATCTTCCAGCCCCCTACTCTGGCCCCCACCCTGCTGCCAGAGAACCCAGGCATCCAGACACTCACCCTCTTCCCTTTTTCTGCCCCTCTCCCCCAGCTCTCTCCTGCCCGGCCAACAGCTCCTACAGTGTGTGCGGCCCCATCTGTACCCCCTCCTGCCCTGCCACCCCCCCAGCACCCCCCTGCCCCGCTGGGGGGTGTGCCGAGGGCTGCGTGTGCCAGGCCGGCCTGGTCCTTAGTGTCACCGAGTGTGTCCCGGCATCGGCCTGTGGCTGCCTGGACTTCAACGGCATCTACCGCCCGGTGAGCTCTGGGGTGTGTCACAGCTGGTTGTAACAGGCCTGGATGCACCCAGCTGTTGGGGGCTGGGCTGGGCTGGGTGTAACAGAGCCAGATGTACCCAGCTCTGGGGGGCCGGGCTGGGTGTAATGGGGCCAGATGCGCCCAGCTCTGGGGGCCTGGGCTGGGTGTAACAGACCTGGCTCCACCCAGCTCTGGGAGGCCCATGTTCATGTGTGTTCCCCCTGTGCCAGGTTGGGGCCATGTGGCTCGATGATTGCATTGTGACCTGCACGTGCCATGGCCCTGGGAATGTGACGTGTCAGCTCAGACCCTGCTGCACCTTTGAGGACTGTCAGTTCCAGGATGGCGAGTACAGCTGCTACCCCTTACGTGAGTGTGCCCAGCTCTGGGGGGCCGGGCTGGGTGTAACAGGTCCGGGCTGTGACCATTGCTGAGCCCCCTCTCTGCAGTGTGGCGCGTGTGCCAGGCCTGGGGGGACCTGCGCATCATCACCTTTGACGGGCGCCACCTGGAGGTGCCAGGTGCCTGCACCTACATTCTGACTCAACCTTGCCAGCGCCAGACCCCATGGCTGCCCAGCTTCGAGGTCTGGGCTGAGACTGAGGCCACAGGGCTGCCCGGAACCTCCCGCGTCAGTGCCGTCCGCATCCACGTCCACGGGCACTGGGTTACGCTGCTGCCACGCGGCCGTGCCAGGGTGAGCTTCTGGATGTGCCTGGCTCTGGGGCAGGTCCTGGCTGGCTGTAACAGCTTCCAGATGTGCCTACTCCTGGGGTGGTTCCCAGCTGGGTGTAATGGGCCCTGGGTGCACCCGGCTCTAGAGTGGGTTCCAGCTGGGTTTAACAGGTCACAGATGCGCCCACCTCTGGAGTGGGTCCTGGCTGGATATAACAGCTGCTGGATGCACCCACTTCTGGGGTGGGTCTTGGCTGTGGGTTGGGTCCCGTTTGTGTGTAACAGGTCCTGGATGCACCCAGCTCTGGGGTGGGTCCCAACTGGGTGTAATGGGCCCTGGATGCACCCAGCTCTGGGGCGTAACCCTCTGTGGCATGGCAGGTGGACGGGCGTGGCGTGCAGGTGCCCTGGGTGCTGACCGGGGCCCGACTGCGGCTGAGTCTGGGAAGCGACGGCCGTTCTCTGCTGCTGCTCACAGACTTCGGGGTCCGTGTCGCTTTTGATGGCGTCTCCCGAGCCGACATCGTGGCCCCCGGCGGCTACGGCATGGCCCTCTGTGGCCTCTGTGGTGAGTCTTGACCCCCGCTTCCCTGCCTGCACCTGGATGCCTGGGTCCTCTGTCCACTCACCCGGATGCTTGGGTCCCCCCAGGGAACTTCAACCTGGAAGTCAGCGATGACCACCTGCTTCCCAATGGCTCCTGGGTCTCCTCATCCGCGCAGCTGGGGGCCGCCTGGGCCGTGCCTAATGCCAGCGCCCCGGGGTGAGCTGAACGCTGGGCCGTGCCTAATGCCAGCGCCCCGGGGGGAGCAGAAGGCCTGGATTCAGCTCACCCGGGATGGAGTGATGATGGAGTGGGACTGCATTGTCTGGGAGGGGAGGGGGACGAGGGGGTGAAAGCAAGGGAGCCCGGATGCCTAGGTCCCCAACTCATCCCCTCCCGCACAGCTGTTCCAGTATTGGGGACCCCCTGCCCTGCGACCCCCATGTGGAGGCCGAGGCCAAGAAGCTCACGAACTGCGGGCTCATGAGTGATCCCCTAGGTGAGCCCACAGATGCCTAGGTTCTCTGGGAGGGGTGGGGGATGGGGGGTGGGAGAGGGGAGGGCTGGGAGCCTGGCTGCCTGGGTCCCCACAAGCAAATCCCAGACTACTGGGTCCCACAGGCCCGTTCTACGAGTGCCACTACGAGATGTCGCCCCAGCGCTTTGTGGCCGCCTGTGCCCGAGCTGTGTGTGCAGGGGGAGGCGCCGCGCTCTGCCCTGCGGTGGAGGTCTATGCTGCCCGCTGTGCCCAGCTCGGCCTGCCCGTGGACTGGCGCCAGCCCCACCGTTGCCGTGAGTCCAGGATGCCTGGGTTCTCTGGAGGAGGGGAGGGGCCCAGATGCCTGGGTTTCCCCCCAGTCAACCTGCCTTTGCCCCTGCTCAGCGCTGTCATGCCCAGCCCCCAGCCAGTACTCGCCCTGCGCCTCCCCCTGCCCCCCCAGCTGCACCGAACCCTGGGGGGGGCAGTGCCCAGGAGTGCCCTGCATTGAGGCCTGTGTCTGCCCCACCCCGTTCGTGTCCAGTGCCGGTCGCTGTGTCCACCCCCTGCAGTGTGGCTGCACCCGGCCTGACAGGCAGCACTACGCGGTGAGCGCCCCCATCAATACCTGGATTCTCTAAGGGGG